CGCCTTGTCATACACCGTGCTTTTGCCTTCTATCCCCGAATTAGTTCTACTTCGCCTTGTCATACACCGTGCTTTTTTTTGCCTTCTTTCCTCGAATTAGTTCTACTTCGCCTTGTCACACACCGTGCTTTTGTCTTCTATCCCCGAATTAGTTCTTCTTCGCCTTGTCACACACCAGGCTTTTGCCTTCTATCCCCGAATTAGTTCTACTTCGCCTTGTCACACACCAGGCTTTTGCCTTCTATCCCCGAATTAGTTCTACTTCGCCTTGTCACACACCAGGCTTTTGCCTTCTATCCCCGAATTAGTCCTACTTCGCCTTGTCATACAGTACACCAAGCGTTTGCCTTCTATCCCCGAATTAGTCCTACTTCGCCTTGTCATACAGTACACCAAGCGTTTGCCTTCTATCCCCGAATTAGTTCTACTTCGCCTTGTCACACACCAGGCTTTTTGCCTTCTATCCCCGAATTAGTTCTACTTCGCCTTGTCACACACCAGGCTTTTGCCTTCTTTCCCCGAATTAGTTCTACTTCGCCTTGTCATACAGTACACCAAGCGTTTGCCTTCTATCCCCGAATTAGTTTTACTTCGCCTTGTCACACACCAGGCTTTTGCCTTCTATCCCCGAATTAGTCCTACTTCGCCCTGTCATACAGTACACCAAGCGTTTGCCTTCTATCCCTGAATTAGTCCTACTTCGCCTTGTCATACAGTACACCAAGCGTTTGCCTTCTATCCCCGATTGGAGTATAGGCAGCAGTAACATCCCAACCTGAACACTCCGTGGCGACAACACTAGTCATAAAGCCTTACATCTTTAGACTGGAAGGGAGAAGACACTCCTCGCCGCACCCTCCCCTTGCGCGTAGACACCAAAAAATAGTGAATGCAGTCAGTAACAGCTGTTTATCACCGTGTATCCAGTAATACATTTAGCTACTGTAGAGAGGGATATTTTCTCTGAAGATCAGGTTCAAGATTTGACCTTACTGCATTCCATCTCCCGGCTGGAAACACTTGTATTGAACTTAGTGACAGTTGGAAGTACCTGCGTGCTTCTGTTCCGGCCAGCGGATTATCTGTTGAACCGGCTGTGCCAACTTATCCAACCCCTTTAACCTAGATACTGGATAAAAACTGGCTAGAGAGAGAGAGAGAGAGAGAGAGAGAGAGAGAGAGAGAGAGAGAGAGAGAGAGAGAGAGAGAGAGAGGTGGGGGGGGGGGATTTTAACCTTGTTTGTTTCTGGACAACTTATCAGCGACGTTGTGTTCATTTTGTGCGGAGATCAATGGTTGAAATTTTTGTTTGATTTTATAGCGACTGATAGTGACAGTCGGTGCATTTCATTTCTCCCTGGCTGCAAGATAGATATCTTTTCAACACCAGCCGTATTCAAGTTGTGGATGCCTGTACGCAGTTAGCACCTGGTATTTTGCAGCTTAGTAGATCACTAGAGTAGCTTAAATTATATTGCTTATAGCATCAGCATCACTCTCCTCCTCCTCCTCCTTCTTCTTTGTATTCTTCTTCTTCTTCGTCTTCTTCTTCTTCTTCTTCTTCTTCTTCTTCTTCTTCTTCTTCTTCTTCTTCTTCTTCTTCTTCTTCTTCTTCTTCTTCTTCTTCTTCTTCTTCTTCTTCTTCTTCTTCTTCTTCTTCTTCTTCTTCTTCTTCTTCTTCTTCTTCTTCTTCTTCTTCTTCTTCTTCTTCTTCTTCTTCTTCTTCTTCTTCTTCTTCAAGTGAACTTAGTTGAATAGCCCTGCATGCAGAGAATAGTGAATGAATGTTCTCATTTTTGCCGTAAGAGGCGACTAAGGAATGTTTGCACAAGACTGGTCGTCGCATCTGATAGAAAACTAGCAGCAACATTTAATCTACTATAAACAGAATATACACTACAGCGCGGACACATACACACACGATAACTGCGTAGCTGTCCACTTACCAACCACCTGAAGATCCTGGACTAGGCTCCTGTGGTCGACCCAGCATTGGAGGGGTGCCAGGAAGTTATGGTGCTGACGTGAGTTGACCACATTACCCATCGTCTGACAATTAGCCTGTGAAAAATATGAAACTGGCACTATATACATGGCATGTCAATGGCATGTTATTGTCTTTGACGTTTTGTATAACACAGTTCTCAGGTGATGTATTCCACCCGACAGTCTGCTTCTTCTTCTTCGCATTCACCGGCTGTAAACTCCTGCGGAAAGTTCTGGATATTCGTCCACCTCGGGACTTTACTCTTGTTTCTGAACCTGAGTGTTGCGTGCAGATCTGTTTCACACATCTGACATAACTATGCTCACTGTAGGCTCCTTGCCTCTCAGGCAGATGCACTCCAACTTCAAAGAAAGCGCCCAGTTAGTCGACTCTTACGACATGCTTGTTAGAGATGCAGTGGGTCTATCATTCCCCACAATGGAGTCCCGAAACCCACACTAGGATTTTTCACCTGACAGTGAGGGACTTGATTTTTTTTCACCGGCACAGGAACGGAGCAGGTATGGGACGACCTGATTGTAGTGACGGTGAAACCTTGACTAAGACTTAACTTAAGACTGTCACTTGTTCTACTTACATTGTCGGCTCTGTGGCTAAGTCGATGCGAACGCTTCGTAATGCCGGGGTGCGGATTCGATCCCAACAGCGGACCATGCGCCTTGGGTTGGTTTCGACAGTGGCATCAAAGGGACGACCGTCCAGTAAGCAATGGCAAACTACTAGACGTAAATTTGCCTAGGAAACCACACAACAACCAGGGGCTGCTAAGGTTGGTTCTGCAACGTCCTGTAAAGGATACGCAACTAGCCTTACTTACTCACATAGGCACACACACACACACCCCCCCCCCCCCCCAAAGGCGTCATGTGTGCGCACGAAGCTACTAAACCTCTCATGGGCTTTTTTTTCATGAACTGCAACCGCTGTATGAGTAATCCAGCTTTAAGCTATGGCTGTAATCACGGCCCATACCAGCCAGCCTGGTTTCCCGGCACTGCAGAATCCATTCCATGTGTCGTGTTTTCATACATCCGTCAGTCAGTCTGGCGTGTGTTGTTGGCTTTCTGCAATTAGAGTTATGCTGCTTGCCAGTTACAGAAGAGGGTCTTGTGCCGATTTGTGTGTTCTGCTCTTGTTACTGTACTGTTATAAAAACAACAGCCCACAGTTATTCAGTACTAGGGCGTTTTTGTTAGCTGACGGGAAGGCCCGCACAGCTAAAAGCTATGGATAAACCCGATACAGAAGAACCCTCGGTTGATTGGTGAACTGTAATGTATGCTAATGGGCAGGTTTAAGCAGTTTTACTAATTAAATTATAAGTAGTAAAAAGTAGGTATAGGTCCCTTTTCCACACCTTTAGGCATATAGGGCTAGACATATATTTTTTTAAACCAATCAGCACAAGATGGGGAATGTGGTCAGCATCACGCCGGCCGTCTTTACTTCCCCGGGACTGCACCCGGTACCCACTCAAGGCTGGGTCGATCTGGAAGGAAGTCTATGTCATTTTTGAACAAAAGTTCGTCCCCACTAGGGAGCGAATCCACGACCTTCCGATCCGCACGCTACGCCACGGCGACTTCCTCATTAAATTATACACCTTTTGAATTCCAACATTACTACATAATTATATTCCTTTTAGTAGCTGTGAGTTTCTTTCTTATTCTTCTTTGTTGTCATTATTGTGTAGTATAGATAACTGTTGCAATATTGTTCAACCTCTACACTGTGCCTGTAGACTGTGCCCCATATTCCCCCTCTCGAAGACTCTGATAAAACATGGTTAAACCCGATAAATCTGCTACAGGGGTGTTTATCCTGAGAATTATTTTAGAAGATTGTTATATAACCAGACCTCCTTACCCGGATTGGTGTTGGGGGGTAACACGTCGAAGGTGTAACTGTCGCAAGTGCCCGAATTATTGCTTCTTTGGAGGTCAAAGGTCTGTGATGGCCCCATTGGTTTGCCATCCGGATTGCGATCTTTTAATCTCAGGATGCCAGACCAGGACCGTCTGCATCTGGAGAAGGCCTTGGTCAGACCTTCAGGGGCAGCACGGAAGGGGAGAACGAAACGCAGAAGATTGATTGTCCTGAATGTCCTGCTACAAGGTTAAAAAAAATTTGATGTTCCAAGAGTGTTTAACCTGAGAATTGGGTACAAAAAAAAAAAAAAATACCTGAGAATTGGGTACCAAAAAAAAAAAAAAAAAAAGATAATGTACCATGAACATTCCGTTAAAAGATTGTATTTCACTGAAAATTCGACCACAGAGTTGTTTACCCCGAGAAATGTTCAAAGAGTGTTCAGCCTGAGAATTGGGTTAAAAGACGATTTACCATGAAAATTTCGTTAAAAAATGGTTTACCTCCTGATAATTCTACTGCATTCTTCTTCTTTTTTCGTTCGCTTGAAATAGATTATCTATATCTTGTCTCTAGTGTGAACTTCACTGTCTTTTGTAATTCACTCAGCTAATCAAAAAGTGTGACTTGCACCGATGTTTCTCTTGGCCAAACGTTTTGCCTTGATATGTTGTGTTTGGGACAGTCTTGGAGGACATGGTCTGTTGTCTCAGGTGCCAGTCCACATGTGTACCTGGCTGATTCGCCGATTTTAAATTTTGTGCTTTTCTACAACAATGTTATTTACCCCGAGAAATGTTAAAAGATTGTTCAACCTGAGAATTGGAAGATGATTTACCTTGAAATTTCCGGTAGAAGATTGTTTCCCCTCAATAATTCTGTTAAAATATTGTTTTATCTCAGCGTTATGTTAAAAGATAATTTATTTATCCTGAGAATTCTGCTAGCTTGCCAAACCTAAGAATTAGGTTATATAATGTTGTTAAGCTGGAGAGTTCTGCTAACCTTAGTTAAAGAGGAAAATTATGTTGCAAGAAGAAGAAGAACCGAAAATTCACCAACGCAATAATGCTTTACACTTTGATTTAACGGTTTTTCTTTTCTTTCTCTCCCCCCTTTGCAGAATTTTTTACAGATCTATTGGACAACGCAAGAAGAGACTTGCACGAAATGTTCGTGAAAACGTATGGATTACTCTACCAACAAAATGCCCAAATATTTGCACAGCTGTTCGACGATCTGCGCGGCTACTACAAGGGGAAAGACAAGAACCTGGTGGAGGTCATGGAAAATTTCTTCAGCAAACTGCTACAGCGAATGTTCGAGTTGATTAATGCCACTTACAAGTTTGACGATGACTACTTAGTCTGCGTCACCGAGCGGATGAACGATCTGAAGCCTTTCGGAGACGTACCTCAGAAGTTGTCCTTGCACGTCAAGCGGTCTTTCATAGCGGCCAGGACCTTTGTTCAGGGTCTGGCTATTGGCAGAGATGTGGTCAGTACTGTGATGGAGGTAAGAGATGGACTCTCTTGTCCTGTGTCTGTCCGTCTCTCTATGTATCTGTGTCTCTTTGTATGTGTCCCCCTCTTTTATCTTTTTTGCGTATTTATTTATCCTCTTTGTCTATGTCACACACACACACACACACACGCGCGCGCGCGCACGCGCACGCACGCACACAAACACGAGAGAGAGAGAGAGAGAGAGAGAGGGAGAGAGAGACAGAAAGAGAGAGAGAGAGAGAGAGAGAGAGAGAGAGAGAGAGAGAGAGAGAGAGAGTTAGTTAGTTAGTACAGAAAGCGCATAGTTTCCGAACCTTACGGATAATTTTCCTCTTACCTCAAATCCACCATGAGACAGAAATTGTTAAAGATCAGTCGCCCTTTCGATCCGAAGGCGAACTTCTAGCCACTACACTATGGTGGCTGTCACTACCTGCCCGATTTGATGCATTACTGGGAGTGGTTTAATCGCTTACCCATTTATTAATAAACACTGGCAGATCCGATAGGGAAAAAGCAGTTGAGTTGAGTCAAGAATTGACATCACAGCACTTGGGACATCCGTCCCTATCCTCAGCAGTCAACGTAGATTTCCAGTACTGATAGTGCCTATCGTAATCTGGCTTTATGTACGTCTTGCCTTTACTCTGAGCGTAGTGTGGCCGAAACCTCTGGTCACACCTAGAGGCATCATTCTCTCGAGACCATAATAATAATCTGGTTTTTCTTCTGTCTGTTACTTGTTCCCAAATGGCTCTGACCACATCTGCCGTGTCATGTATCAATTCACCACCCAACGGGGCAGATCCACCTAGTCTGTCTGACTGTTCATGCCCCACCACGCCGACATAGCCTGAAGAAAAGATTAGGAGTATGCTCACTATACGTGACCTTGCAAGTGAAGCTAGCCACTCTGCTGGAAGCAATCCTGTCTTCACCCTTTTCAGCATGCTTTTAGAGTCTGTTACAACCACGACATGTGTATGTATCTTGTTCTATAACCACCGGTAAGCTGCAGTGACCGCCTCCATCTCCATTCTCATGCTAGATGTTGTGGTATCATATGCCAGGCTGTCCTGCTACGAAACCTCAGGCAGTCTCTTCCCGCTCAGTACATAACCATCTGTGTCGATAATCAGATCATCAGGACGAGAATTGTCGTGAGTCAACTGTTGGACTTCCACCTCATAGCCCTCGCTGGCCACTTTCTGAACTCCCGGCCTAATATGATGGGGAAAGAGCAAGGGATAGACATCAAGATGATTTGGCCTCATGTCAGATTCGGAACCCGGACAGTCCTCTGTCTACCTAAGAGTCTTGAGATTGCATGAGATGACCGATTGCCCACCTGATCAGGATATGTAACCCGATGGTGATTGTAATTTTGCGAAATGACTATTTTTCTTTCTCCGTGTGCATAAACCAAACCTGATAAGATTGATGTAAAAGGACTGTACCGGCAGATGTTCCTCTAAAATTGGACCCCACAAAACCAGCAACAGCTGCAGGCTTACGGTTGAGAAATGTCTCTAGACTGGTGTTCCCTGAAAGTGAGCGATGACGCCCTAGTGCAGGAGGCGCTATAGGGACCGGGGTGGGGGGTGGGAGGGGGCGTGCGCTGTAATAGCTTCCGGTGTAATTTAAGGGGATGGGGGTGAATAAACATAAGGGTGCTAAGGAATTATATCTCAGGGGTTCGCTTTTCTGCTTGTTAACAAACAGTATTGGGTCATTTTTGTTTTAATATCGACTTTGGTTTGAGCAGAACTGCAGTCAGTCATACAGTTGATTAAAGAACAGTATACCAGACGGTTTGCCCCCCCCCCCCCTGTGAGTCAATCCTGGTATCAACTGACACAGAGATAGGTGAAGGACGACACAAATTATTAAAAAACAAAAATGAAGAGTAACTAATAAAACGCGTTAGAATGAGTATAAATACGATTCTCAGAACACTGTTGTCGGGGTGGCTGATGGGGGAGGAGAAGGTTCTCGTTGTTCTAATTTTATATATTTAATGCGAATTTTGCTAAGAACGATTATTAGAGAGAGAGAGAGAGAGAGAGTCTCAAACTTCAAGTCATCTTTTATTAGAACAACGTAGTTTTTTGTTGTTGCTATGTTTTAGTGCGTAAAATATGGATAAATAATAATAATTAAAAAACATTTATTACTGTATCTTTGTGTGCATGCGTTTGTGTCTGTGTGGCTTTCTCTCCCCGACCCCCACCTAAAGAATTAATAATTAATTCTATAAAAGCGCTTTCTTAAGTATTGTTAAAAGCGGTCCATAGGCCAACTAACTTGGGAACCTCTGCTTCGGACAATTACCGGAACTGAAGTCGGGGCCTGTCTGAACACGGCTTTACCTTCTTCCGTTTGTACACAAGGAGAAGCAGCTGCAGTTGTTTTCACATGTAAGAGAGTTCTTCCTTCTAGACTCAAGATAATTTCCTATAAAAAGACAGCCCAAGTGATGGCAGTAATTGCTTGATTTACGTTTTCTAGAACCTTCATTATTCTTGTCGCTAGTGTATTGCCGCATTAATATCTCTTGTAGGGGGAGGGAGGATGCAGCAGCTCATCATTACCGGGGAGTTGACGCTGAGAGGGGGGGGGGGTGAGATGGAGGAGCTTATCATTACCGGGGAGTTGACGCTGGGGGGGGGGGGGGGGAGATAGAGGAGCTTAACATTACCGGGGAGTTGACACTGGGGGTTGGGGAGGGGGAGATTGAGGAGCTCATCATTACCAGGGAGTCGACACTGGGCGGGGGGAATGGAGGAGCTCATCATTACCGGGGAGTCGACACTGAGGGGGGGGGGGGGAAGAGATGGAGGAGCTCATCATTACCAGGGAGTCGACACTGGGCGGGGGGAATGGAGGAGCTCATCATTACCGGGGAGTCGACACTGGGGGGGGGGGGGGAAGAGATGGAGGAGCTCATCATTACCGGGGAGTCGACGCTTGGGGGGGGGGGGGGGGGGGGGGGGGGGGAATGAAGGAGCTCATCATTAGCGGGGAGTCGACGCTTGGGGGGGGGGGGGGTGGAAGAGCTCATCATTACCGGGGAGTCGACACTTGGTGGGGGGGGGGGGTGGAAGAGCTCATCATTACCGGGGAGTCGACACTTGGGGGAGGGGGCGGGTGGAGGAGCTCATCATTACCGGGGAGTCGACACTGGTGGGGGGTGGGGGAGCTCATCATTACCGGGGAGTCGACACTGGTGGGGGGTGGGGGAGCTCATCATTACCGGGGAGTCGACAATCTGATGCGTTTTGCTGAAAGACACAGGTATCACAGCCTAGCTGTAAACCACAAAACAGCCCGCAGAAGAAGAATCTGCGACATTTAGACAGTCGGACTAAACAACAGTGTTCATTTTTGGGCTGATGGCCGGGTCTACTTCTTCTTTTCTGATTAAGCCAGTATATGACCTTGAGCAAGACATTTCGTTTACTAAAAGGCTATTAGTGTGTGGTTTGTTTATCTGTTACAGCATGCGAGTTGTTGAGTGTCGAGGAAAGTTAGTCTCTGGTTTTGCGGTCCTAAAGCGGGGACGGGGTGGGGGGTGGGGGGCGTGGAACGTTACTTAACTCTTCTGGCCGCAACGACTTTAGACACATCGTACTGTTTGTGGACTTTCTCTGACATTGTCATTTTTTTTGTGTCTGACTCGTGCTCTTCTCTTTCCTCTTGCAGTGTATACTTTGGATGATATGGCTTGACACGGCATTCTCTCTAAGTGGGAAAACAATTTAATTTGCTGTCTTTGCAAGTGATTTAGAATTGGTTCTGTTTTTTTTTTCTCTTATGACCCCATTCCTGGTTTTGTCTTTTCTGGTCACTCCTGCAGCCCGTCCCAGATATCTCATTTCCGCGATTACTGGTTTTCTTTTACTCTTGTATATGCAGCATCCCCGCGTGGGTTCCCTGGCGCTATTATTGGGGAAAACAAGAACTGACCCACTCCCGACCCAACAGCACGTAGTGAGAGTGCACTGTTTGGGAGCTTTCTTCGAAGTCTGCTTGAGAGACAAGGAACCAGCAGTCCGCATACAAATGAGTCAGATCTGTAAAACGGATGCACACGCAGCGCTCAGGTTCTGGAACAGGACTGCAGTACAGAAGTGGACGAGCAACCAGAACTTTCCGCCGGAGTTAACAGCTGGTGAACGCGAAGAAGCAGAAGAAATAGAAGATATATGGAACAGTTTAATCTTAAGAAAAGGGAAAGCCTAGAGTAAGATGTAGCTAGAATGTGTCAACAGTCGACAATAAGTAGTGCAATATATGCATTTCCAGCTTCATGAACATTTCGGATAACATGGAGGTTAAAGGGTTGCGGCCTGAGCTTGAGCTGTCTGTCTCAGACCAGGCACATGGAATAGATGAAGCGTCGAGAAAGACGACACAGCAGTCAAGAATGTTTAAATCGATGCCTGTGTGTAATTGAAAGCCGCTGTTAGCATGTTTGAGAGATAAATGGTCTAAGGCAGGGCACGGCCAGCTCTAGTAAATCTGGAGCTGGCCGTGGGCAGGGCTAGGCTATTCAGCTAAGTTTACAGAGGGGCCAAAATTGGAAAAAATGAGGATCGTCACGGGCCAGAGGGCTAAACCTTAGCATAGAAAGATCATTAATACAATACAACTTGCAATGATCCGCGGGCCACTTGCTAGGCTCCCGCGGACCACTTGCTAGGCCCCCGCAGGTCAGATTTGGTCCGCGCTCCGCCATTTGAATAACTTTTTTCTAAGGCGACCACGTGAAAATCTTCGTGAACCATAGGTTAAGAACCACCTATGAGACTGATATCTGCATCCAGCAGATACGATTTTAGCAAATCCCTAATAAGTCACATTCACCGCCTTGCTGGTTCAGGAGCAGTGCCCCCTTCCACCTATTGAGACCCCGAAATAAACAGGACAAGAGCACTGTCCTGATCCGTGATTCTGGTGATCGTGTGAGGCGGCGAAATGTGGCCGCCGAGGCTTGTCGGCTAAGGACTC